TTAGAATTTTTTAAAACTTAATCCGACCGATTCGGTTGATTTCCGATCCGAATCATCAGTTCACCAATCCGAATGGGTTTTTGGGTGCCCGATCCGAGGCACCGATCCATTTTTGAACCATTGCTTATTACATATAACATCCTCATGGCAAATGAACTCATATCTATCTGTAATAAGTATTCTAATAGGGCAAAAATGTGTTTGCAATTAGATTTGAGCAGTGCTTATGATAAAGTATCTTGGCCATTTGTTATTGCTTGTATAAAGGCTTTGGGATTTCCAGATACTTTTATATGTTGGGTTCATTTATGCATATCCACTCCTTCCTTCTTTGTGTTATATAATGGTTCTCCTAAGAGTTATTTTAAGGGGAAAAGAGGTCTGAGACAAGGGGATCCCTTATCTCCTTATCTTTTTCTACTAGTGATGGATTTCTTGAGTAGACAATTGGACTATCCTATCTAGCAAGGTATAATTACCAAGCCTTTTTCTTCGGGTTGTGATTATGAAATATCACATCTTTTTTATACAGATGATGTTGTGATTTTTTGTAACGCTTCAATTAATACTGATGTTGCTATGAAGTCAGTTCTCTCTATTTTATAAGCAACCACAGGACAAGAACTTAATATTGCAAAAAACAAAGCCTTCTTTTTTGGGGTCTTGCAGGGCAATAAATTTTTGATTATGAAGGAACTTGGTTTTGGTGAAGGGTCCCTTCGAGTCCGTTACTTAGGGCTACCTTTGTTTCGGGATCATTTGAAGCATAGTCAGTGTTATGCTTTGGTTGGAAAAGTTATTGGAAGGATAGGTTGTTGGCAGGCTTTGACTTTATCTTATGCAGTGCGTCTCTAATTGTTGAAATCAGTTCTATGTGCTTCTTCGATATTATAGATTCTATCATTTATTTTACCAAAGAGAGCTTGTAATATGATTGAACGGTTACAGAGAAACTTCCTATGGGTAGGCATGGCTGGAAAGAAGGGGGTTCCTCTAGTTAAATGGAACACAAATTGTTTACATCAAGCAGAATGGGGTTTAGGGATACGTGATATAGTCGATTTCAATATTGCAATGATGATGAAATTGGTATGGAGAATATTGGTAGATCCTTCATCCTTATTTGCTCAAGTTTTTAAGCATCGTTACTTCAAGAATTCTTCCATATGGAAGACTAAATACAAAAGATACTCATCTTACGTTTGGAAGGGTATTCGGCTCGGGTTATCTCATTTGAAGGATAATGTCTGATGGGTTATTGGTGATGGTTGGCTTGTAGACTTCTGGGCAGACCCGTGGTTATTAGAAAAGTCAATATGGGACTCTTATAATATGATTGTTCATCAGGAACTTAAGGTTGCTATGCCAAAGGTCTCTGATCATATTGGGGATGTTCTTCAATCTTGGGTCTTACCCCTGCCTACGTCAGGCTTTTTGACATAGATATGGAAGGAGGTTCAGAACAATATCCTTCCACTACAGCCACGTATGGATTTTTTGGTGTGGATTAATTCTGTGAGTGGTTTGTTCTCAATTAAAGAAGCTTGGGAGCATATTCGTAAGAAGGGAACTTCTTAGGCGATATTTAGAACCTTGTGGTCAGCAAAATGCCATCCCTGAGCAAAATGATTTTCTTGGTTGGTCCTCCATCATCGGTTACCTACTACTTCTCTCTTGCAGCAGCATGAGATTGCTATGGCTCCTCCTGTATGCCCCTTTTGCAAAATAGTGATGATAATTCATGTCATCTATTATTTCTTTGTGACTTTTCGTAGGTTTTATGGAGGTTTATTGCTTGGCGATGCAGTAAGTGTTTCATCTCTAGCAGTTCTATTCCTATGATGTTGAGAAAATGGTTATCATTCAGATTCAAATAAAATGGTTTCTTTAATATCTAGATGTCTTTATTCTTTACAACTATATGGTTCTTATGGGTGGAACGTAATTAGAGAGTTTTCCAAGATAGGTTGACCAGAAGGGAACAATTAGTCAGACAAATCATTTCTCATGTTCGGGGGTTAGCTGATGTTAAATCTTGAAGATTCCATTGTCATAAAAGGCAATCATTGATAACTTACAGTTCAAATGGTATCAGCAGAGGGATAAAATTACTCTTCCACTGGCATGATCATTTCTTAGCCCTAATCACTTCAAGATAAACATTGATGGGGCTTCCTTACATAACCTAGGCCAAGCAGGGGGAGGGGGGGGGGGTGGGGGGTGTTATTAGGAACTCTGATGGTGCTTTTATTGCAGCATTTGCCAAACCTTTGGAATCGCCTCTAATAATTATGCGGAATTTTGCGCTTTGGAAGAAGGATTAATCCTAGCTAATGAACAACAGTGCTACCCTATTTAGATTGAAAGTGACTCAGCATTGCTCGTTAATGTTATTCATGAATGCTGGCGACCTACATGGAAGTTATATACGGTGGCACTAAATTGTCGACAACGTCTCTTTAAGTGCAGGTGGTCAATTTCTCACATCTTTTGTGAAGCCAATGTTGTGGTTGATATTCTTGCAAAGAGGGTTACATCTTATCAAAGAGCTATTGTTTGGCGTTCTCGTCCGTCATATTTTATTTGCCTTGCTTTAACTCATGATTTGACACAGGTGCCATGTTCTAAGGTTTTACGGTAATGAGTTGTAAACTTTCTATTTCTTACTTATTAATGAAAAACGGGTAGGCTCCCCCACTGACTTATTAAAAAAAAAAAGTATATGCTGTATTGTATAATTATTAAGGTAAGTAGAAAGTGAAAATAGGGGATATGAAAAGGAGAATCTAAATTGATTTGAACAGGTGTACGAAGACAATTTTCTACTGCAATTATAATAAAAAGTTTGTACATCCCTCTCCCCTGAATTTGGGTTGTAGCCCTCATTTGACACTCATCTAAAAATAAAATTTTTTAGTAATTGGTAAGTGAAAGTAAGGGGAAATCTAAATTGATTTGAATAGTTACTCTCATCTAAAAACAAAATTTTTTAATAATTGGTAAGTGAAAGTAAGGGAAAATCTAAATTGATTTTAACAATTGTAGAACTTGAGGGACAATTTTTTACTGCAATTATAATAAAAAAGTTTCTACATCCCTCTATCCCCAATTTGGGTTGTAGCTCGCCATCAGCTCTCATATAAAAATAAAAATAATAAAAATAATAATTGGCAATCGATGAAAAAGTACACAACACAATCATAATAAAAAATTTCACACAACATAATCCTCATAAGATATTAGTAAAAGTTCAATTGAAATAAGATACCTCTTTAGTCTCCTTTAATGCTTCAAAATTTTCTACTGCAATTATCAAACGTTCTAGTTTACTAATCAAGCTTCTTCCCATTTTTAAACTTGTACCATAAAGATTTTGATTTGGTATCATAAATTTATTGCTTATTTGAAATTATATATAGAGTGACATTTGAAAGACTTCTATAAAAAATAAATAAAAATAAGCCTTATCATAATAAAATCATGTTATTCCAATCATATTATTTCTCATGACTTATCATATTGAAACCAAAGTCTAATCATGTTAGCCAAACATAGCCATATTTTTCATATTTGGATAGTAATGTATTTCTCATATTTCTTCTAGATATAGCCAAATAATAGCAATGTATTTCCCAAGTTGCATTTAAATACTACCCAAATAGTGACAATCCATTTGCAAATAATGTATTATGCAGTAATGTATTACGCTCGTAATATATTTCACAAACAATATATTTCCAGGTATCCAAATTAGGAAATCTATTAGGAAGGGTAATCGGGGAAATCTTTGGGGCGCATCTCCATTTTCTCTCCCAAAAAATCCCGTGATTCACATCCTAATAAATAACAACAAAAAAAAGTTCTTCAACTAGTCCCATCTTCTGTGATCAATAGCTCCCTTTGAAAACCCAATCGCATGTATATATTTAAACCTCAAAAATCAGCCCCATCTTCCTCAACTAGCAGCTAACCCGGCAGCACCATCTAAAAAATCAGCTCATCTTCCTCAACTAGCAGTTAACCCGGTAGCTCCATCTTCTGCCACCAGTTGTAGCTATTGTTTAAATCAACCCCATCTCCTCAACTAGCAGCTAACCCGGCAGCTCCATCTCAAATATCAGCCCATCTTTCTCAACTAGTAGCGTCATCTTCTGCTATCAGTTATAGCTATTGTTTATTTCCAGATATTCAAGATTTATTTGTTGGGTTCTACAACCACAACCATAGTTGTAGCTATTGTTTCAAAAAAATAAATGGATTTAGGTTCTCTGCTCTATCTTTTTTTTTTTGGCTTTATTTTTTCTTTTTTGATGCTATTGTTTGCTGATGAATTTGAAATACTTGAGTTCACTCACAGAGAATCGTCAAATCAGTGTGCTTGAATTGTTTTTTTTTTTTTTTTTTCAGAACATTTAAAATTAATTTACCCATTCAATCTCCTTATAATTTCTCCTCCAATACGTCTCATTTAGTAAAAAATCCTTCTAGGTTACTAGCTAAATTTCTCTAAATTTTTCTTTTTCTTTTGAATTTGCCCATAGAAGTTATTTGAAGAGAGATGATCGAAAGGCTTTAGCACAAGAAAAGAAAACATAAAAAATATGATGGCTTATCATAATAAAAGTATGTTATTCTAAAGTGTTAACATCTTGAAAACATGTGATTCCAAATCAAGACGCAAAGGCATACAAAAAGTGTGGCTAATTCTTATACCTGATGCAATTATAAAGTTTAAGCTACATACTAATAGGGATGGTACGCTCAACCATGTTTTGGGTATGAAGCCAAAAAAGAAAAAAAACATGTTGGTAATGTATTTCCGATATTTCTTTTAGATATAACCAATAGTAATAATGCATTTCTCAGTTTGCATCTAAATACTACCCAAACAATGACAACACATTTTTTGATATTTCTTCTAAATATAACCAATAATAATAATGTATTTCTCAAGTTGCATCTAAATACTACCCAAACGATGACAAATGCATTACGCTAGTAATATATTTGACAGACAATATAACTTTTAAGTATCCAAACAACCTCTTAATGAAAATTTTCCCGCCCAATCTCTCTCTAGGCTTTTCTCCCTCATGATACTCTCTATGGAATTGAAGGACGAGCGACGCATTGATGGTGATCATCATTCTCTAAGACTCTCACGCCTAACAAAGAATCAAGGAACCCTGGTCCCTTGATCCAACTCTCTCTCAGCCAAAAAGGATGAACCTTGCCTCTTCAATGGTGAGTCAGTCTCTGTGAATCTTGCAATCGGAAAGTAAGAGAGAGAAAATGACATGATCTTTTTTTTATCTCTCTAAGCATCCCCCAAAGATCTCAAGGTGAGATTCTTCTTTCATTTTTTGCTCTTCTTCAGGCAGTGTTCATAAATTTTATTATCCCTCTCTATTTTCCTCCTCCTATCCAGGTTTCCGGTCTTCTCAAGTTCTGGAAAATTAGGGTTTAATTTAGCATTCCTACTTAGAATTTTGTCTATCATGTTAAAGATGTGCATTTTCATTTGTTTCAATCTTTACAATGTATATTTCTATGTTGTTTTTTTTTAGATATCATTTTAATGTAGTGTTGCTTTTTGCGGTAAAATTAGGGTTTAGGTTAATGTGGTATTGCTTTTCATACATGATGAAGAGTTTTTCCACCTCTATATATTGTTCTTTATGTGAATTATATATATTTTTTGGAGCAGAGCAGAGAGAACTAGGGCTAGATTTTGATGGATTTTTCTAGCATTTATTTTGGATTTGTTCTTTATGGGTGGTTCTGCAAAATCGTAGTTTCAGGTGACCTTATCTAGAAAATTAGTTATGGTTGTACTTTAGGTATAATTAAATGGTTTTAAACCATGCATTAAAAGTGAATTGACCATTAATTTTAATTCAAAGTGTTATTTTCTATGAATTATAAGATGTTGGGGTTTCTTTTTTTTTAATGTGTTTTTGGCACTTTGTGTTTTCATTTTTTGTATTCTAATACTACTTCAAAAGAATTATTGGGGGTAGTCTTTATTTTAATTTGGCCTAAGATTTGATTGATCATCATGGTGTGTGTTATGTTTGAGATTGTTTATTCCCGATTGTTGGTGTATCCCACAGAAACAAGTTTTTAGAGGCCAGATTGCTATATTAAGAAAATATAGGATTTTAGTTGTGTTAAAGGATTAAGGTGGAATTGTAAATATTCAAATTCTTAACCATAATGAAAACTGATTTACTCTTGTTTTTTTTTTTTTGTTTCTTGAGTATTTCAAGTTTTGGAAGTCAAGACAAGAAAGGTATCTTAGAAGTTGTCTTCTTTCTTTAGGTGTCTTTCTGTTTTCAGAATTTCGAAGTTGTTGGTATAGAATGTATTGTTTTTAATGCCAATCGGAAAATTCCTTCGTTTGTCATTCATTTGGGTTTCAGAGGGCAACGGCATTTTGAAATGGCTATTTTCTCATGTATACCTTTACATGTGCTCTTATTTATTAGATATTTATAATTTTTATGATGCTGTTTACTGTAATGAAAGTAACCATCTCAACAATATTTGTATTGCTATACAGCAGTGAATGATAATGGTGATGGTTGCAATAATGAATTTGCACTTGAGTTTCGTCAATTACCATTTAATTTAGAGTAAGACATTAAGAGTTAACATTAATTTTCTTTCATCTTTATGGGTTCATTGGATGAATCTAAACTTGGACATAAGGTTCACAGTTGAAATAGAGATTGGGAGTAATTTGGGCAATAATGAGATAGATACACCTGAGCAAATAGGAACTTCTCTTATTGATGATTATAGAATTGATATTTTGGCTACTACAATGAATTGAAGGATATTATTCTTGTAGATGGTGATGATAATGGTGAGTTTGATGTAGGCCAGGATGCATATGAACCTATTATCGTTGACCTTCTATCTTTTGAACTTTCTAAAGCTGTCCCATTGAACTTTGTAAAGCTGTCCCACAAGAGGGCATGGGGTTTGAGTCCCCTAGAGCCACATTGGATTTCTATAACGAGTATGCAAGAAATTTGGGTTTAAGTGTTCGATGCGCATCAAGTTGTCAATCAAGAAAAGATAGATCATTTATCACTTGTGAATATATTTGTTCAAAAGAAGGTCAACGACACAAGAAATATGAGGGGAATCAATCTAGGATCAATACAATGATGGGGTGCAAATCAATGTCAAGAATCAAGAAAGGTGATTTTGGTACATGGTTCAAGGCGAAGCATAATAAATAGCATCTCACTCCTTTATTTCACCATCCAAAGTTCATTTCCTTCTTTCACATCGTAAAATTTTCGAGCCCATAAGAGAATTGATCCGTATGTATAACTCATGTGGTTTAAGTGCACAAAAGATCATGAACGTGGTGAGTGCACAAGCTGGAGGTCGAAGGAGTCTTTCTTTCATAGAGCACGATTGCAAGAATGAAATGTATAGATATCGAAGAAAATCACACTTGGTAGGAAGGGATGCAAAGGGCTTGATGGAGTTCTTTGCCGCAAAGATGCCACGAACCCATCATTTGCATACATGATACAAGTTTATCAAGATGGGCACATAACTAATGTACTATGGATTGATGCAAAATCAAGAATGGCATGTGAGTTGTTTGGAGATGTCATTATATTTGACACTCCATACAAGACCAATGCCTATAGGATGCCATGTGCCCCAATTTTAGTAGTAAACCACCATATGAAGACTATCGTCTTAGGTTGTGCTTTGATCCAGAGAGAGGATGAGGTCTCTTTTATATAGATGTTTACAAAGTGGCTTGAGGTGATGAATGTATGCCAACCCTAGTCAATCATAATTGACCAAATTAAGGCAATGGCCCTTGTCATAAAGAAGGTATTTTTAGAGTCCCGAAATCGCTTGTGTAGGTACCATAGTATACAAACATTTGAGCAGAAAATGGGGCAAGTTGAGCGTAGACATCCAACTCCGGACTTTTACAATTGCATGACCATTGTACCACAATTATGGAATTTGAAGATGGATGGTCAAGAATGATCGAAAGATATAATCTAAAGAATCATGAATGGCTTCAGTCCTTATATGAAATTTGAAATCAATGGGTGGATGTATATTTGCAAGATTGTTTGTTTACTGAAAATAGAACTGGTGGGAGAGAAGTCATGAATAAGGATATTAAGGCATATGTGAATTCCCATACCAACTTAACTACATTTATTGCTCAAATTCAATAATTAATTGACAAAAAGTTTGATGATGAAATATTCTAAATTTCGAATCTCGTTACAAAATGTCAGTTATGAAGACCGCTAGTCGAATAGAGAGCAAGTGGCTCAAATTTATGCCTTAACTATCTTTAAGGACTTCTTTCAGCTAGAGTTGGTGAGAGCCATTGATCTTATTTGTGAAGTACAAGAGGATGATGGGGTGTTGTGTACTTTCAATTTGCACACATATGGGTTAAGTCACTTGGCGCACACAGTTGTATCTAATGGTATTAAGAAGAAAGCAACATATAGCAGCCACCTATATGAGCGCATGGGTATTCCATAGTCATATGCTTAGGGTATTATTTTTTAAAAAATATCCTTGAGCTACCCGATCACTATATTGTGCAACGATGGATAAAGGATGTGACAAAAGGGGTTGATCTTGATGGCTACGGGGTTCAAATATGGGATCATTGTGATGATAACTATTCCACACGCCTCAATGACCTACATTGATGGGCCAACATGGTGGAAACTATCGGGGCAGGGTGTCCACGTGCATGCAAGTATGTAACGATTGTTTTAAAAAGAGGCACGTGAGAACATTGCTGCTAAAGTGGATATGGAGAATGTTTATACAAAAGCCACCATCTTCTACCCATAGTAACCCTGCTTCCATGCAAACTCCTACCCTTCTAGTGGCTCCTGTCCTCTTTGTGGGTTCAAACCCACATGTGAAAACAAAGGGACGGCTTGGTATTGCGAGATTCAAATCTGGGTTGGAGAGGGCAAGTAAGAGAAAGTGCAATACATGCCGAGACATGGGTAATGACAAATTGGCAATAAAGCAGTTTAGAAATGTTTAATTGGGTGCTTCACTGGTTTTTACTCGATTATTGGTAGTGTGTGGTATATCATGGGAAATGACACAGAGTTCCTTCTATTTTTATGTACACTGATATATCATTGTATATCCGTGTGCACAGCTGATACATCATTGTATATCTGCGTGCACACTGATTTACATTGATATATTAGTGTGTAATCAGTGTGCAGATTGATATAAACGGAATTTATGTGTATATGTGCATTGATATGGTGTACATCATTGTGTAAAGATTATGTGTAGCTTTTGCTAAAAAGCTTCACTGGATGAAACTTTTGCTTTCATCTCGTTCTTGGATGTTTTATACTAAATTGGTTTCAAATGTTAATTTTAATGTTCGACTTCACTTGAACCAATCTAGGTTCATCACAAGGTTTCAAAAAACGCTAGGCGGCCCCTAGGCGGCCCACTTGGTGCCCAGTGCCCAACGTTTAGGCGGGCGCTAAGAACCTTGGGCGCCCAGTAATTTACAAAAAATGAAAAACACCTAGCCCGCTCAGGTACATCCGCCTGGGCGCCCGCCCAGGTACATCTGCCCGTGTAGGGCCGCCTGGGTCTAGGAGGGCGGAGTTTTGGTCCAGGCCGCCTAGGTGCCAGGCGGACCATTTTTTAAAACATTGGTTCATCATAATGCATGTCATTTTGGTGCACTAGATATATGATGCATTTCCTTCCATTGTTATTTTGTTGTTGTACTCATCTTGTAGTAGAAACATTCATATGAACTCATCTTTTTATGTTATTTGACATGCATTTTGAATTTAAATACATTGAGAATGTTTAGTAATCAATCACCTTTGATCTTATACTCTCTATTATTTTTTTATATTTTTGTGCGGGTGTACAGGTGATCCCCAATGGTGGATGACTAACACTCGAGGTGAAGTGGATGAGGAGCAGCAGAGGTCTATAGCTATGGGGAGTACAAATAAACCTCAAGTGAGCATGAGTAACATCGAAGGCAATGTGCCTGAGCAACCCCAGTGATTGGCTTAATTTTTCACGTGATCACATTTAAGCTTTACTTGTATTTGTAACTTTTAAGCGTTACTTATATTTGTATGTATGTAAATAAAATAAAATTTTAATTGTCAACCCAAGAGAAAACAATAATATGAACTTTTCCTACTTGGATATAATATAGTAACCTATCCTAAATTATGGTCGTAAGGTGTTGAGATACGCAAATTACATTATTAAAAAACATAGGAATGGAATTGATTGAAAAAGTTCACACCCAAGTTCCCATCTCTCCCTTTCTCTGCGTTAAAGCTTTAATTCTCTCTTTAAACTGTTGCCCTGTGTTTTTCCCTTAAACCTTCATTACCGACGCTCTCTCTCAAAAGTACAGACTCTAGCTCTCTCTAAACTGTTACTGTTTGTTTTCCCCTTAAACTCATACTCTCTCTCTCTCCCCCACTCACTCTCTGGCGCAAACTTCAATTCTCTCTAGACTGCTATCTCCTATTTTTTTCCCTTAAACCATTCTCTCTAGACTGCTATCTCCTATTTTTACCCTTAAACCAACAGTACTTCACCCTCGCTCAAAAGCGTAGTTAAATTTCGTTCTAAATCATTCCTAACCGTTTTCCCCCTTAAATCCATATTTCTTCTCTCTCTACCCCACAAGGAGGTGGAAATTATTTTATTTGAGAAAAATTGGTATACTCTTAATTAGAATATACTAGTGACCTAAAATCAATTTGTGTGTGCGCGTGTGTAGGGGTGTGTGTGCACGCATTTGCTTATATAGTTAGAACTTGAGAAATACGATTATATCTCTTTGTGCGTTTGTGCACGTGCGCATTTGCTTATAGTTCGAATTTAAGAATTAAAAAATTATTTACATAAAAGCAAGTGGAATTTAAGTTTACACATAAATATTTTACGTTATGTTATATGTCATTTTTGATGTACTTATATCCCCGAGGTGAATAAGGAAAGAGCCAGTAGTAACCTGGTCTCGTCGGGAAATTGTAGCAATAAGCTTAATATTGGGCGATCTTTGAAGAAGTGTCAGAATGGCCTCAAATTGTATAAGAGGCTATTTTTGGATACCCTAAGGACACTCACAAAGTTTCATTGTGTTCTGACAAGTTTTGAGATGATTAGGACGAAACTCAGTTGCACCGCCATTGAACACGTCCTGTCATGTTGAAAATAGACCCTATAACTATAGCCGGTCTGAAAACAGTATCAGACCACCGCCATTGGACCCGGAATGTTGAAAACTCTTAAGTACCAAATTCCGGCTCAATTGGACCATCCAGGACCATTATGGGCTTAACTTACAATACAAAGATGGGTTTTACACGATTGTGGTGCAGCATCGATGAACCAGTTTCCATTTATAAAAACTGTGTTTTCTCATTTCGAGATGATTTACAAATGTTTATAACTTGCTCATTTTGAGTCCAATTAAGCTTAAATTCGGACACGAGCTAGATCTCGACTATATGCCCGTTTTGACATATGGCACGTGTCATAGCGTGGCCCGAAACCAGAGAATTTTTAGACAGAAAATGGACTCGAAACATGAAAATTTAGATTTTAAAAGAAGAACATCAAATTCTCTGAGAGGTCATAAAATAGCTTGAGATCCCGATGTCGGATCGTCGCAAGTATGGGTCAGTTGCGATCGTGCTTCGAAGAGCTACAATTTGATATAATTTTTGTATACGATCGGAGGCCGGATGACACCTAATTTTTAGGTCGAATAATGCATACTTTTCCGGTCATCGGAATCCCATTTTTCGATGACTTCCCAAAATTGGAACGCGCTCAAACATATACTAAAATAGATGTCGCAAAATGATCGTGATAGTATTATCTTCAATTTGTGATCAAAATGAAGTCTCGGAACATCATGGATTGTGCCGAATCGATGGTCGAAGAATCACAAGTTTATGGAACTTGGTCGGATTTAGGTTCTCCTTTAAAAATCTGTTTCAAGGCGATCAAAGGGTATCAAAACGTTTGTAATAGTTCAAACATCGATTCTACGATATTCGATCACTCGAATTGCCATTGTAAACATCCGAAAAAGTTCTCGAGGCCTAGCAATGGCAAGAGGCCCCTCATAGAGGGATGATTTTGTCATTTATTGAAAAGTGCTAAAGTTTATTTTGGTCATTTGGTTCAAAAATAGAATTAGTTTTTTAATTCTTTAAATGTGTACTTTTTTGACAATTTTGGTTGTTTTTGAGCAATCCACCATTGTTTTGGGCTTGCTCTATATAAAGAACTTAAGTCATATGCAAACCTAAGATTGGGAAGCATAATAAAAAATTTGGGTTTTTGTCCATTCAAGCCTTTGCTTGTCAATAGCTTCTAACCTCAAGAGAGAGAGAGAGAAAACTGTACCACTTTGAGTAATTTCCCTTGAACCCTCCACTTCCAACTTCCAACTTCCAAACCCTCCACTTCCAATTCCCAACTTCCAAATCTCTCACTTCCAACTTCAAACTTCTAAACCCCCCACTTCTAACTCCTTAGAACCTCAAACTACATAATACCTAGAACCTCAAACTTCCTACTCCCTACACCATACACCTCGCCTTAGATCATCATACCCTATCTCATACACTACCCCATCCCACTTAGGTCCATTCATCTTAGAATTAGTCCCCAACCTTAACCCCAAAGGTTAAGACACCTCTCTAAGGAGTGCCCAAAAGGGACATTCAAAGGCATGCATAAATCCAAGTCGGCCTAAGTCGATTTTATCTCTCTTCTCTTTCTCTCTCTTCATTATTTCTTCTCTTCTCTCTCTTGTTTACTTAAAAAAGGAGGCACTTTGGGTTAGTGACTCTCTGATGGGCTAAGCCGACGACTTTGCTTTCCAAACGTTCCGAGTACCAAGGCTTCGAGCCTAGTACATTCCTTTGTCTCCGGTAATACCTCTGAGGAGAGGTTATGCCAGGAGGGCGCCCAATTCCTGAGTCTCTTCTTCCTCTCTCTCTTCTTTCTTCTCTTTTCTTTATCTTCTCTCTCCTCTCTCTCTCTCTCCCCTTCTCTTATTCTCTCTCTGTCTCTTTTCACTCAGACCCAAGGTGGGTCTGAGCTCCACCCTCTCTTTTTCCCTTTGCGCTTTCTCTCTTTGTTCACTCTCACTCTCTCTCTTGCCTAAAAAGTCTCGAACCCACACCTAGGGCAGGCCCTGCTTCTCTCCCTCTTTTTGTCTTACTCACTCTCTCTCCCTCGTCTAGTCCCGTGCCTTAGGAGGCTCCGTCTACCCCCTCTCTCTATCTCTCTGCCTTGCACACCCTCTCCCCCTCACCTAATCAGGGACCCGTGCCCTAGGCGGGTCCGTCATCTCCCCCTCTCTTTTACTCCCTCGTTCTCTCTCTCTCTCTCTCTCTCACAGGCTAGGTCACAGACCCGTGCCATAGGCGGGTCCATCCCTCTCTCTCTCTCTTTATCATACTCAATCCCTCACTCTTTCGCACCCCCTATACACACAGACTCGCGCCATAGGTGGGTCCCCTTTACCCCTCTCTATCCTACCCTCTCTCACCTCTATTTACCCACCAAGATGCACGAACTCACGCCATAGGCAGGTTCATCTCTTTAACCCTTCTTCCTCACTCTAACACTCCACTCTCCTTAACTCACAGCCTCAGCTCTCATTCACTTACTCTCATTTCATTTCTTCTTTAGTCATCCCTTCTCTCACAGTTGAGCACTCAAGTAGGGGCCCTCCTGAGATAGTTTCTTACAGTTCTAACTCACAGGTATAGTTAGCAAATCTGTTTAAAACACAAATTTTTGTGGGTATTTTGGTCAATATATATTTTATCAATTATTATTTTTCATATATTTTATTAGGTGCACCTCACTAATATATATACACACACTCCAAATTTCAAGTAATTTGGATTTGTAGAAAAAAAATTGAAAATTGAAATACTACCAGACAACTGTGACCATGCGATGAAGTTTGGATGGTGATGAGGGTAGATGAAATCACTGTTCATTTTCTCCTATAGGCGTTGAGAAGAGTTTTCCTATAT